GACAAAAAATTTGCATCTTTTTGAAGGCGGGCTGCTTGGCAATTCGATCTGCCTGACTGTCAGGGCCAAAGGGGGCGGGTAGGGATAATGATAATAATAATAATAATATTATTAATATTAATAATTATTATAAAACTGTCAAACGAGCTCTAACTCTAACAAGACACCTGTCTAAGACAACGGCTTTTCTTCTCGACAATGGATGGTTGTATTGGACAATTTGACTGTAATAATAGTAATGATAGGCCTACTAATGATGCTGATAATAATAATTAAAGTTCCTTAGTCAATGTTATTGCGTCTGCGGAGAAGAATACTAAGTAAAGAAAATAGAAGAAAAAAGGATTGTGGCTTCTGCTGTGGCCAATAAGAGCAATTCTGGCAGAGCAGAGTTTGCCACATTTTGAGAAATTGAAATCTCAGTTCACCTTGTGAATTTGCGCTGCCCTTGGGCTTATCTTATAATCTATTTTTCTTCATGATGTTTTTCAATATATGTGAAGTGGAGTGAACTCACCGTGGTTGAATAAACTGAGTTTGCACACTTTAAACTTATGGTTTCTCGACAGTCCTAAATTGTGATTACATGGTTTTTCTCACCCAGCCCTTTGTGTGGATTTTTTCTGTAAACTACTCGCCCCTCGCCACTCAATAAAGCATTGTAAGGGTTTTACATACATTTCAATGATAGCAACAATAATAAAAACTATCTATATCAACAATAGCAACAACAACAACAACAATTACAACAGCATACAGAAAAGAACAATAACAATAACAACAATAAAAGCAACAGCAGGAACAGCATCCGCTGCAACAACAACAACCCCCACCCAATGGATGCATGTGGCTTTGCTTAGCTTTCAAGCTGTTCCCAGTACGAGACCCACTTTCAAATCATTTTTTTTCTTGTCTTCTTTTTGTTTTTGTAAGTGTTTTACGGCGCTCGCAACTGCATAAGGTCATATGAGCGCGCTTTTTCTTGTCTGCCAGTTTAGTTGAAATAAGTTTATACAACACTTTCAACACAAATGTCATGTTGTACAAGTGTTGAAGATTAGAGGTGTTACAAAAGAGAAATGCACAAAGAACAGAAGGAAGTGGAAGATAAAGACAATATGAAAGAAGAAGCAAACCATACCAGAACAATCGCCAGTTACCCTCGGGACTGCAATTGGTCGCTTTTAAGGATAACCGGACTAATCCATATTTCGGGGGTTTCCAGAAATCTTGATCTACACTAAAAGTGGGCATTGCCTTACCTATAAGAAAAGTTTGGTTTCATTGGTTTATATATTTGTTTGGTAAAAGAGAAAACTCTCCTTGTCTTTTAAAGAAACTGAACAAGGGTCCAAAAACTTTACTTTCGATTTTCTCAAAACAGTATTTTTGGGGATAGACCCTTGTGCTTAAAAGCGACCAATTAAAACGACAATTTGTGTATCACAGGTTTTCCTGGGAGGCAGCATCCAGTCTGACGGACCAGTGAAGGTGATCAAAGACGAAGAACGAACGGTGAGATGCTGTTTTAACATGTGTTTCATGTTTATCATTCTATTGTTGTGAATGCTTAAACTGTATTCCATTAAGAAGTTATTATTCAGTATTTTTATTGTATTTTTTTTGTTCTATTTTATGACGTAACATGTATTGTCTGTCTATCTGTCTGTCTGTCTTTCTACCTTCCTGCCTGGTTGTCCCTTGATTGTGCTGATCGGGGTGTAAAACATTTGAAGTAAGGTTATAGGTTGGTAGTCCTCTGACCATCAACGGTACTGGTGTATTCGAACTGACCGCAGTTTGCCTTTCTTATGTATTCTATTCTGCACTTCAAAAATGAGTACAAGTAAGATTTTGTGATTGATTGATTGATTATTAATAATTTACGATTGAGGGAGAACATGAAGCATTCCAGCCGGCAGACAAATGCACTCTATAATAGAATTTTCCCCCATGGAAATTGAACTTAAGCCTTCTGCATGCAACAAAGAAGAGTTTAACCGTCAAACCACAGACGCCAGTACGACATCAAATTTTGTGGACTATTTCACAGAGCCTACGATGAGCTTTTTCAGGACAGCAACGTCAAGACAAAGAGATCGTCATCTCTTCAACTGCTAAATACACAATGCACACTGCAAATTGGATTCACGGATTTGATTTAAATTGTACCGAAATTGCATGAAGGAAAATCTAGTTGCCACAGTTTAATCAAATTATGAATTCGATTTGCAGTGTGCACTAGGTGAAGCACTTTAACTCTTTAAGAATGTAGCGGACACATTTGTCCAACCGGCAGAATACCAAAAACAATGTTTCGGCAAATTTCAAACCATCATGCACAATTGTAAGCATATTGTTGCCTTTATTTTTAAGATTCAGATACACGTAACACACTTGAAAAATCTGAGTCAATAGCATAGTTGTGCTCCTTTTTTTTAAAGTGCCTAAAAAAAAGCACATCGTATGTGAGTTAATCGCTTCTCACCTTTAGGCGTAATGAAGTTAAAAGTGGTGTAATTCTTACCATTCTCTGTTTTTCTTTTTTTACTTACCAGAGCCAACCAGAGCCTGTGTTTGTGCAAGACAAGAGGTTAGAGGGGTCACCCCAGATGATACAGCTGAGCTTGGATGGCAAACGTCTCTACGTCACAAACTCTTTGTTTACGGCATGGGATGAGCAGTTCTACCCCGAGATGTGCAAGTACGTCATTGTGTGTGTGTGTGTGTGTGTGTGTGTGTGTGTGTGTGTGTGT